GCCATTGCACGGCGTTAATAAAGCTGGCTGTAACCCCGTTTGATTCCAAGGCAGCTATTCAAGAATACAGCAGGGCTTAAAATAATGGCACGTTAACTCGTTGTTAGTGTGCTCCTGCTTCTCCCTTTGTTTAAGCTGTTTCTTAGAATTCTCAGTGGCGTTTTGGTAGCTCCAAGTAATTGGAGAGAAATGGAAAACTTTGTGATGCAAAACAATGCAATAAAAGAAGTGTGAGGGAGCTTTGTGAATGAAGGGGGGGTATCATTAAGGCATCTATTTATTAAAAATCAGAACAGAAAAAATGAGCTGAAGTAATTTATTTTTATTCAATTAACCTAGTTGCAGATTGGGTGTACAGGACAGTAGAAGACTAATCTTTCACATTAAGGTGGCCTAATGAGAGTGAGAATTACAACTGGAGAACAGTGAAGATAAGTAGAAGACTTATCTTCATTATTAATATTTATCATAGTTGTGTGAATGCTTGTGTCTGAGACACTGGATATGCAGTTGTACTGCAGGTAAATCATCAATACTTCACTAGTGCCATACAAACACAGAGCACAATGAGATCCCTGCGCTTTAGTGAAGGGATCTCATTTGGGATGCCAAGTTACCTAAATTCATAAGAAGAACACAACAGCTGAATGACCCAGGTTGGTCTGTCAGGAGCAACACATCATGGCCATGCGCTAGTCTTGTGGTCTGCAAATGTGTTAATGTGCTGGTATCTGTAAGTTCAGAGAGTTTAAGTGTCAGTGCAGTGTACCAGCATCTGGCAGCCCCAGCTTCCCAGCAAAGAGCTTTGTCTTCCTGTTCCATCTTTAAATTCAGAAACACAACTGTGCAGCCTTCTGTGTAACTGCATTCATTGAGACAATTCTGTGCTGTACGTACAGCACAAAAGAGCATCCAACTCCTGCTAACCTGAACCCAGGTGATTTGTGGGGCAGTAGACATCAAACTTGAATTAATGCTTTAATTTCTTAGTGCATAGAGAGTGAGAGATTCCAAAATAAAGCCACAGATTTTGCTTTTATCTTTTTGAACTTGAGTGGATGTAACTGAAATGGAAAGAGGCAGTGTTCAGATAAGACTACATCCAGCATCTTCCCTGACAGAGGAGGCTGTATTTATGGTGCTTACCTTAATGTGGAGAGAAAAAGTGTTGATTTCATTGATGATAGTTTGATTTTAGCCAGGTGTAGTAAATACCAGACTGTGACCAAGAATGTCTAAAATAGCTGCCCGTGCTGCTGGACTAGTATGCCAGCAATACCAGGCGACCAGCTGTTGTTCTGGCAGTGGAGAATGGGAGCATTCCAAGAGGGTCTTCATGGGCAGGTTGGAGAGAGATGGTTACAGAGGGAAAAGGGATCATTCAGCCTCCAGCTGAACTTGGTACCCTTGAGCAACAACTCATGAAAGCACTTGACCTGGAAAAATAAGGTGGATAAAGGCAGGACTGCTCTGAAACCGGTGTCTCGCTGTGGCTCCTTCCATAGAGCTCCAGTGATATTTTAAAGATGAGGGAGGGAGGATTCGTAGTGTCTCATTTTTGTTATCTCAGTATAGCGCCAGTGGTATTATCAAGACAAATAGTATGCCAAAACTTAAAAGTGAACATATGTTTATGGGGGTGGTGGGGAATACAGAGGTCATGGGTGTTTCTTTCTAGTCAGAGAAGACATAATGGGGCCTGGTTTAGATAAATTAAGCTTTGGAGCTAAGCTCATGTCAAGACTACTCTAGTGTAATTATAAGTTGAGTTCTTTCAGGGTCCCTGAAATTTTTAGAGTCAAATAAAAGTGTTCAGCAAGAATTTCATAACGTAGTTTAACTGTTTTGATGTGAGCTGATTGCAGCTTATCCTTGTTGGCTCCTGAACCAATTTTACTTTGAGTTGAAAATTCTTCAGTGAACTTCCAAATACTTCCTTCCATGTCATTTCAGTGCCGCTTCCGCTGTTTCTGGACTTCATTTATAATTTGCTATTTTTGATGGCTTTTTCATCCTCTATTTCCTTATTTCCTTACACCACTGGAAACTGGCATTTTTTTTTTTTGTTCCAGTTAAAGTTGTCATGGTGCCTTTTTTGTATTTTAAGATATAAAATAGTTGCAGAGATATAAAATAGTTGCAGAGCTCGGTTTTAGCAGAACTTTCAACTCTACAGATTGATTTTTTTTGGTAACAACTAAAATGCAAAAAAAATCTTTCTGCCTGGTGGGATTGTTTGGAATTGTGGTTCTGAGTGGGGGGGAATGGTGTGAAAGTTCCTGTGATGTACAGACCGCTTCCATCAGAAAGTCTCTGATCTTGGAAGATGTTGTTTCACTTCTGGTTTACATTTCAATTACTATAGAACTGGTAAGAAGAGAATCAACCATACCTTTTGTAATGCTTACTGAGAATATAGGTGCAAATGCCCTTTATTAAAACGTGAAAAACCTGTAACGGGAAAACAAATCCATCCTATTATTTCACAGAAGTGTAAGCATTTAAAATGCTTTGGGTTTTGTAAAAGGGACAAATGGCTTTTTCAGAATACAGTACAGAATCAGCTCTGTAATGCTAATTGTATTTAATAATAGTAATTTGAATCTGGCTGTACTCTGCTGAGCAGCAGCAAGAGAAAATTGTATGTGGGAATGTTAAAGTCCAGAAGTCTAACATATGGCGTGCTTTGGCCTTCAAAGTCTGTCTTTATGTACCCATGAAATATTTCGACTGCAAAAGTCTTTCTGATGGCTCCCCCCTCCTTTCTCGCCCGTTCACAAATGGTGCCGGATACTCCCAAGCATTGATTTACACTACCCGGTGCCTCTCTGCTTTGGCACTTTATTCCATATTCTAATTTCAAATACTCTTTGTGTGAAAATGTTCTAACCGAATTACTTATGTTCTCATTCCCTAATGAGCATCGGTCCATCTGTGATTGCTTGAATTCAAGTTAATAAATGGGTTATTCACAACCATCAATCCCTTGCTCTCCAGCACGTCCTGTGCCCTGTGAGATTTCAGTGCTTTTCCATAGCCTTTCTTGGTGAACTCTAAAAGACAAGTATGGCCAGCATTTGAGAATTCATATCTGCTTTCCATGTCCTCCATCATTTTGGGTTCTGCTGCCTCTCTGTCATCTTTCCACTACCATTTCTTTTTTAAATTGGTAAGTTGCAAATAGGTCAGGTTTCAGCTCTAACACACCTTCACCAAGCTGCATAAATTGATACAGGTTTGGGGGGGGACATAAGCAAAATGGGAATTTGCTTTGTTTTTCTAAGGCCAGTCTTGTGTTGTTAACAAGAACTTGTCTCTTCACAACCTCCCGCCGTATCTCTCAAGATTCCACTGCTGCTGCCAAACGCTGTGCAGATGCTTCCAGTGTCCTGATTTCCCTCCTTGACCCCTCCCCTCCAGTCTTTTCTTGGCTTATATGCTGTGCATTGTGCTTCCGTGTAATTTCTGCAGTTGTCCTTGTCCTTTGGTTTTCTGGCTTAATCCTCTCCCTAATGATCTCTACAAGTCACTTACCAGCTGCAAGACTCATCTACAGGAGCCCCACGGTGCTCCTGCGCTCTGCTCCAGTGCACTTTGAGTCTGACTCCGTTGTTTTAATTATGGACATTGTAGGATTCCCCACCCTCCCCAGATCCTTCCCTTCACAAAGTCATTTTAGTACAGCATAAACAGAAGTGGCACCAAACCTGACCCCGCAGCACCCTTCTGCTTATCTCTCCTCCTCCCTGCGCCGCTTCCTTTCCCTGGCACCCTGGGCTTCCTGTGCCCCAGCACTCTGCAGAGCTCTGCACCCGGGCAGGCTTGTACCATGTTTGCTGCTTCTGCAGATCTCCCTCCTGCATAATAAAATATCAAATACTTTCCTGAAATACAGATACAGGCAACTCTGTCCATTGTTTCTGCCTTATCTCCCGAATCAATAAAGTAGTGAAAGAATTCAAGGACATTTTTCAGACAGGACCTTCCTTTTTTAGTACATGTTGACGTACGCACCTTTAAATGGTTTCGTAATATTAACTGCTTCTCAAATACACAGAAGAATTGATATCAGGCCTTTGTATCCGTAGTTCTTCAGATCCTTCCTTGCTTTTTATTACCATATGGGAATGATAATCTCCATACTTTTAGTTTCCTGATTTCAGTAAGCTGCCGCAGAATTGTGTCAGGCTTTCCTGTTTCCCTTTCTGTCTCTTTCTGCTTTAGAATATTAATTCAATGGACCTGAGCTTGGATCAGTTTGAATTTTTTTGTCAATATTTAGTAACTGTAAATCCTCTGTTTTCTAGTACATTAGTAAGACATGTTTTCTGAAAAAAGTTGCTATGGAATAAGTAATTTAATCTCAGAGCCAAAAAGCTGCCTTTTCTTGTAAAATGAAGTTTTAAGGGAAAATAACATTGTGTGGGGTGGTATTTTCCTTCACCTGGGCAGGCAGCTGCTTAGATCAGTACTGTGTGTATTACAAAACACAAAGAGAAGCCAGCCATAGAGCCTGGCGTGAGCTCTTGAGTGCCCAACAAGTACATCTCTTGATCATCTCATATTCTGTTATTGGAAATAATAGAAAAAATACCTTAGCCACAAAAAAGGCAGAGGTGACATCAGAAGTGCACATGGTTCCCGTTCGTTGTGTTAGGTCTTGGTAAGTGGTAAAGAGTTGTTGAGGAGAGAACCTGTCTGGGAAATACCATGTTTTTTATACAGATTTAAAGTAAAGAGTCACAATAGACAGTAGAGTTCATAAAAATATTGATGCTTCCTATTGTGCTGAAACAGGACTTCAGATTACATTCAGTGCAGATGTACCAGAAATACCCTGACAAGGCTGCTTCTATAGGAGCTGTACCCAGGAGACTTGGGTTCTCTTGTTATGTGTTAACTAGTTTTATATGAAATATATTAATTTATTGTTATAGCTCTGAGTGTAAGAGTTGTATTGGAACTAGTCTAAAGCCTCCTTTTCTCCTCACCCTTTTTAGATCGACGCATTGGGTAAAAGAAGCAAAGAAGCAGAGGCAGCCTTCTTGAATGTTTATAAGAGATTAATTGATGTTCCAGGTAAGCAAATGATTTCCTTATTCTGAATACCTGATGGCTTATGTTCCCGGGAATGCTGCTGGGCAGTTTTCCATTTACCTTTGATAAGGTAAATCGAGCAGTGGTTTTACTCTGAAACTGATACGCTCCAGTAGTGTTTCTAACGGAAAGAACTATAATTAAAGCACTTTTCCTGACTTATCTTAAAGCTGTTCATTGCATTTACTTTTTAATGTTCGTAGGAATCACTTCCTATTATGACAGTATTGTGTGATTCTCGGTTGTGTGTTTATTAGAGGGTTTGGACATTTTGAACAGGAAAGATACATGTTGAAGCTTCATCAAGAGGCAGCAAGATTTGTACTTTGAGAGGACAGGGAAAAATTTTAATACCTTCCCAAAAAACCTTTTTACTGAAAAGTAAATGTTTACCAAATTTCAATCCTGTTCAGTGTTAGTGGGACCATACATTTTATTCAAAGGCCTTTATCGTATGTGTTTTCAATTCTCCTTTATGTTTGGCATCAGAAGTTTCCAGTTCTGTTTCTTTTTACACTTTGGGAATTGATTTTTTGTTGTTGCTCTCCCCAGTGGTAGATAGATAAATGCTGTCTGAAGAGATTTTTCTTTTCCAACTGTACCTGAAGATGAGAGGGAATTAGGAGTCCAAGTCTCCACTTCCAGATCTTGGCCTGGCTGAGCTGTTTGCATATGAGTGTGTCTCTTATGATTTTATACTCTTGTTTGGAGGCTTTTTTCTGAAGCCTGGCACTGTCACACATGCTGGGATTTGAGCAGCAAAGTCAGAACGAAGCCCTACAGAGAAAGCAGGACATAGATCCCACCCATACTGTAGGATATAAATGATGAGGGACTTTGCCAGTACTTCTTTGTGGGAGAAAGAATTTTCTCCTTTCCATCACTGAAAAGAGCAAAATTTACACCCCTTCTTCCACACTCCACAGTGCCTCTCATGTCCAGCCCTCCCTTTATGTTATGTGTCAGAGAAATATTTCTTTGATATTTTGACTATGTGTAACAATTTCAGTGTGGCTAAGTTGTGAGTGAGATGGAGTCTGTGGGATTAGAAATATCTACAAGGTTTAGCCCCATGCTCTGTCTGCGGGCTTGAGAGGTGCATGGGGAGCATATTGATGTTGCTAAAAGCAAATTCCAGGTTCTCAAGGAGAAGCCCAGCCAGTCTCCTGTTGCTGTATGTAGATGTAACAAATACTCACTGTTTACAACACATACTCCACTGAAAGGGAAAACGGCCTTTAGGAATGTATGGCACTGGTATTCATCACAATGTGGTAGGGCTGAGTTAGGCATATGCAGTAGGTGCTTGCCTCACTGTATTGGCGTTTTTTAATGCCTTCTCGTCATACATAGTCTGTTACATTGGGTATGTCTCCATGGAGGGCTTTCCTTTATAAAAGGCCATCAGTATTCATTTATCACATGTTGGTTTGCCTCAGTGTGGCTTTACATATCTTTTGACCTGTTCATATGGTATTTCAAATATTTAGGTATACTTTTAGCTCCAAGATCCTGCTATGTTTTCTTTTCGGTGTGAGAAGGGAGCAGTGATGTTTTGAGAAAGCTATGGCTGGAATGCTACAGAGTGGTTATTTAGCATTAAGAATCGCTGTTACATGACAAGGGTGCAATTTTATCAGACTTTCAATATCCTTTATAGGACCATATAATAATTGCAGCTGAAGTCTAATTCCCAGCAGCCAATTTTATGGTTCTTGAGGAAAGCATGTATTCCTCTCCTCAGTAATAATGTGCACACTTTATATAATTAAAAAGGGCTTCTATTTTAATTTTACTATAAAATGATCTGTATTGAAACTTCAGCTACGGTGCTTTATGGATTCAGCAAAGTTTAATGATTTTCTTTCCTGAATTGACCAGAGTTTTCACTTGGGCTCACCAGTAAGGAATTTGTGGGAAGGATGGTATTTTACTTGTAAATTTTCCTATACACATCAGGGGTTTTCTCTTTAAAAGATAAAACAGACCTTTTCATATCTCTCTCCAGCTTTATGATGCTGTTAAAATAGCATTACCACTGGTTTCTGCTGCAAGATTTATCCTTCCTAAAGGAGAGTACATGTCAAGGAAAACATTTTGGTTTATGTACATTTTACACAGCTGTAATTCTCACTCAGATCATTCTGTCTTGCTTGAGACTGAACAGTTTTAATTAATGGAATTAATTTTCTCATTTAATTGCCTTATTTTCAGTATGCAGTAGAGAGCTAGAGAAAAGTGAATGCTGCCACATGAATTGCACTAATCAGCAAGGTTGTCACAACTTACCTTTAAAAATAATGTGAATCTATTTATTTTGAAGTAAGGGGAGGTTGGGGTCTATATTTTGAGGAAGCCTTTTTCCATCTGTTCAAGCTTGCCTTCTCTCTAGTTTTATAACATAAGTGCATTATGTTAGCACCCTCGGCTTTTAGGGTCTTAATCTTGCAAACAAAGTGAAATTGGAGCCGTGTTGTGTAAGTGTTCAGAGGAGCCATGCTGCCTTGCAGAAACAGTATATTCATAATTCAGTTTTTCGAAAGCTTTAGAAGAAAAATATTAAGTGTTAAAAATACTGAACATTAAATCTTTTTCTTTTAAAAAGGAATGATGTGCACTGTTTAATGGTTACTGAACAAAACTTCACTGTAATTTTCAAGTAGAAGTTAAAATGTGGAGACCCAGAGTGAATGCCAGGTGGCAGGATGTGGATGAACTGGTTAAATAGCGTTTCCCTTTATGCTGTGTCTTTATTACTGCACAATGCCACAGTTGGATTTGCTCAGTTTTCAGTATTGCTCCTGTTAAGCACAGCTCTTGTGTAGGCAAAGTAGGAACAATTCTGCCTTCAAACAGAAAATCTGCTGTCTTGATATGGCAACATCAAACTGAATTTGGGTTCAGTGGCTGTTTTCCTGTGGAACCTAATTGTCTGTCTCTTGCAATACTGCTGAGAGTTTGCCACCAAAGGGAAGTCTCCTTCCTGCTTCTCTTTCTACTCCAGGGGAACATTGGGGTGCTGGCCCCAGCCATTCCCTGCCACCCAGCACACCCCAAGCTCACCACCGCTGCCTGCCCTCTCTTTACTGAACCCTAGTCCTGACCCTCTCCTGCTGCTCTGTAACCCCTTTCCATTTCAGACACAGTTACACCCTCTGTGAATACGATAGGAAAACGTGTTGGGCTTTCTCAGCATATAAATGTTTGAGAGTCAGGCTAGGTTAATGCAAAATATTTGCACTCTGTTTGGTGGGGACTGAGCAGCCTTCTAGGGTTGAGCCATAAATGGTGTTTGTTTCTGCTTAATAGGAATTGTCTCATCAAGATTAAATGTCTCTTACGGTGTAAAAGGGGCTGTAGTGTGGTTTTAGTGGAGACTCTCCACAGGTCTCTGTTGTGATCAGATTTGCAGTAAGTTTGTGTATGTGCATGAGCTGGTTTGTATTTCAGAGGACCCAATAACAAAGGAAATAAGAGAGGGTAAAAAGAAGATTTTTTAATACTTTAGGGTTTTTTTAATGTTGCCTGTTAAAATAACACAAAGCAGTAACAGTGAGAGGTGGATGAAGTGGCAATTTTATCCTTCCCTTAGCCCACGCCATCACAAATCGCATGTCCTGCCATGAGGGCTGTCTCTTTCTAAGAGGCCTGAAGGAGGAGCAGGCCAGTTCAAGGGACTTCTCCTTTCATTACATGAAGTATTTTTGTTTACATACAATCACAGGGCAGCCTTGCAGATTCCCACTGCAGGGCTTTTTTCCAAGGAATGATTTAATTGAGGAACCATAAACTTCTTTCACAAGAAGTCATCAGTAAAGCACAAAATAAGTGTTAGGGAATTACTTCTAAAGGCAGGAATGAACATTTGTTTCTCACCCCCGAAGAGAGCTTCATTCCTTCACCACAGAGCCCGTTGAGCAGCAGTGTGAGATGCAGTGCTTGTGCTATCACTCCATTCGCTTGTGATTATTTACAGCTTAGAAACACTCTCCAGACTTGTACTGCTGTTTGTGCTAAGAGAAGACTACCATTTAGGGGTATTTGATCCACGTTCTGAGGTTAAAGGTGATACAAGAGAAAAACAGATTTGATCTCCCCCCCCCGCCCCTCTGCAAAATTATCTGCTGCTTATGTTGGAGATGATAAATGTGTATGAAGTTGTTGTATTTATGTAAGTTATGTTAAGTGTTTGGAATTTTTTGTAAGGCTTTGTGTTAAGCAGAAATCATAAAGGTTAATGCCAGCTCTGATAGCAGAAAGTCTGTATAGATTTCTACATACCCAGAGGACCCAAAAGTTGCCTGATGTGTTTAAATTGCAACATAAGCACACACAAACTTTTGTGCCAGTAGAGAAGAGCTGGTTGTAATCTAAATTTAGGGGAGATATAAAGAGGAGAGAAGGGAAAGAGGTTCACTCCAAGGGACTGTGAGCTAGAATACAAAAAACATCTCTTGAAAACTATTTGGAGCACTCTGATTGTGCATTGTTCGGTAAAACTCAGACTAAAGAGCAAGAGCAGGTTATAGCATACGCTGAGTTTGTGGTATATCGAGACTGGTCAGCACAGAAAGCTTTGGAGAGAGGTTTGGTATCATTGCAGACAGTGTGAAAAATTTTAAGTAATTCCTGGTTTGTTACTAATATGTGTTAAAATGGTCACCCCTTTCCAAATAAAATATATTGGAATAAAATTGAAGATAGGCATGTAAAATGACATACTTTTGCTGCCCCAACTTTACAAGGGAAATGGATATTCATAACGTGTCTTTTCTCAACTTTAGAGGGAAAATAAAACAATATTCCAGTGAGTAGTCTTAGGAGGAAAGAAAGCAAAATGAGCTTGCTCCTGGACAACAGAAGGACACCCGTCAAACAGAGCAGTAGGGTGTCTTAAACACACTTGAAAACGTGCTAAAATTAAGCAGAAAATTGAGCCTAGTTAATACTTGAAAGAGTAAAAAGTGATAAACCTGCAAGCA